ATCGAATTAGTGACTTATTAATTTAAAAAACTCGTTAAAAATAATCAATCAAATAATTTAATAAAGATTAATAATCAATAAAATTGATAAACACTTACATCAATAATATAGTGAAATGAAATGATCGAGCTATATTATTTTCTAGTGCGATAAATGTTACAAACAAGAGACCCATGAGTGAAGTTGCATGTAAATTAAATGAATTGAAAGAAGAAGAAAAAACTAGTTCAAAAAGGTCCTATTGTTGAGGTGGATTTTGGTGGGGTTCAGAAAGGAACAACACAGTTGTGACTTTAGAGTTTGGAGATTGACTACAATTTTTATTGCGTCTAAATGAGGCAAATTTTGACCCCTCCTTTCAAATTAGGACATAACTTTAGCCTTCAGTCACAACAAATATGGAGAATGTAATCAGTTTTCATGGATATGCTGTTACTGTAAAGACATTGGAAAGAGCGAGTTAATGTGTTTGCCTCACAACACTTTCTGAATCACTTATTCATTGATCATGGAGAAAATGGCAAGTTGTTATAAGTGGTTAAGAAGATAATCTGTGGATAATTTTTGGTCCACTGCTATAATGTTCATAGGCTTCACTTAAATATGGTGTAGGAAATTAAAGGGTAATTACCTAAAAAAGAAGGGTGTACTTTGTGCCTATGATTAAAGGAAGAAAAAGGAAAATAACCGAAAATCTAGGCCTTTAACGGCTTGTATAGTTTTGCTTGCTTTTATAATTCTTTACCAATTTTTTAATAGGGTATCTCTTTTCTTCCATAGTGAATTGTACCAATATTAAATATTAAAATATGTCACATTCAATGCAATTGCATATGATGCATTCTGTTTTTATCCAGAGTTGCCTCCATTCTCTTTTGGTCTTTCTTTATTACTATTTTTAATAAGAAAGCAATGATCACTCATGACTCATGTACCATGCTAGTGCTACACTACCCACAATTTGTCTTGTTTTGAAAGCTTTTATGTTCTGAATGTATAATAAGACCAATAAAATTATCAGACTAATGGCACTTTTGAGTGGTGAGTTTGGGACAAACAAGTTTCTATCTTTGTTGTCCCCATTGTATATTAAAAGAAATATGAAATTTTTATTGCAAAAATTTGATGTCATTTTATAAGAAATGTAAAAAAAAAATAAAAAAAAAAATCTTCTTAAAACATTACATATTTCAATTCCAAATAGCTAAATAAACTGTGACTTAAGTAGCTTGGAGAGCCAAAATAAATAAATAATTTAAAATCACCTCACATTAATTTGAAGCACGGATATAAAATTCTAGCAGGATGAAATGGGTTTTTTCACCATTCTAAATTAAAAGAAAACTCTCGGGAGAGAAGGCATTTTTTATTTAATTTTTTTTTTGAACTGAAAATATCTTTTAACAGAAAATGTTTAGGGAAAACATTATCTATTCAAACAAATTTAACCCTCAAAATATTTATAATTTCATTTAATATTTAATTTTTAAAATTATATTATTTTTTGTATTATTAAATTTTAAGTTTATAAATTTAAAGTTTTAATATTTAATTTTAAAAATTATATTTGTTTTTTCATTATTAAATTTTAAGTTTATGAATTTAAATGTTAATTTTATTATATGTATATATTTAAGATAATATTTATAATTTTATTTATTTTTTTAGTATTTATAGGTTGTTGTTTAGTGGATTAGATAAAATGAAATAAATTTGATAATTTTATTCTTTTGATTTAAAATGAACAAAAAGCCTATGGAATGATCAATCGGTTGTCACACGGACATACATTATAGTGCGTGTACTTCTTACATTACTTAAAAGTATTCCAATTACCAAACCAACACAATTCCTTTGTTAAATATACGAGAAGTTGAAGTTAAATATAAAAAATTTCATTACAAAATTTAACACATTTAATACACATCAATTTATGTAATTCAACTATAGTGATTCACTAGTTTCATCATGAGCCATTAACCCATTACCACTGAGTTCATCACCGGTTTAATTCTGGTAACATTAATTTGTTTGAGTTAACAATAAGTCAAAATTAAATATTACTCCCTCTTTTTTTTTTTTTTTTATAGTCGTTTTGACACTATTTTATTTTCTTTTTTCATTGTTACTTTTTTAAAAATCAATGATTTATTAATTTTTTATTTTTATTTTTATTCTTGATAATTAATGTGTGTTTACTAAACAATGTTTTATTCATTTTCAATGTATCTATTTTTCTCCAACTATCTAAAGGGTATAACAAGAAAATAAGTAATAAATACTTTGAAAAACTAAAATATCAATGTAAAAAAAAAAGGGAGAAAGTAATATCATTATATTTAATTCTTGACTAATTATTGACAGTAAAGTAAAATAATAAATTATTAATTATTAATACTAAAAATACTTACTATACTGTCTAATTTATTTTCCTTCATATTGTTTTAAATTAATCATTTGAATGCAATATATGTAAAACTTGCAAGCTGATTAGAAAACCACTAGGCTTATCTTTAACTAAAATATAGTGTGTAGTATTTAGTTGGGGGAAATGACAAATACAATATGACTCGACCATAGTGTAGATAAAAATGAGTTAGATTAAACTAGATTTTATAAAATTTGAAACTTTTATTATTCTTGATTCTAAGGTTTTAATCTATCTTGTTTAATACACATCATAGGTATGATCTAACCTAGATTTGAGGTGAACTGAACTACAAACATCCAACAAATGACCTAATTGTATTTACATTTCTAAAACTAACCATTGATACACTAGACTATTTTATAATAGCTTAATCATCTTAGCCAGTTAGGTGAAACTGAATTTCAGAAACTCAATAATGTTGTCGTTGAATATATCAGCCCATCTTTTCTTTCTTATACAATAAATATTTGAATGACTATTCATTCTTCCTTTATCCAAGAAGATACAAGTTTCAGATGTGATCTGATCCACTAACATGTCAGTACATTATTAAAAGACTGAAACATTTTATAGTCCATTTTCTTTCATAATGGTATGCCGCTATATATTGAGTGTTAAGGAAGATTGTCGCTATGAATGCATGCTTGGTCCCAATACATGTTTAAGATATGCATAGTTTATTATAGTAACATGTCGTCACAGTGAATTAATTGTAGGCAAATGTCTTATCACATCAAATACGTAAATCAAAGTAACTTTAAATTAATTTCCATTACTACAGGTTGGTGGTAAGCCATTCAATATTTTATAGATGAATTGTCTATTTTCTTAATGAATGAAATTCTCAGTACACACTACATTGTAGTGGAACACATTGAGAATACGTCACAACAATAACTAATCAGCGGCGTAAACATTTCCACACATAAGGAAAACATGGTTTCTCACAGGTTACACTACTTAACCATCACATATAAAAAGGTTATGGGGGTTTTGAAAAGGTGAGAGGCACAATCTATACAACAAGAAGAAGTAGTAATACATACAAATCCTTCATAGGTAAAAAATCACTTCATAGGTAGAATAGTAACATATTTCTTCATTACATTAACTTTGTTAAGTAGTATAATAGCTACTAGTAACTTCCTCTAGTTAAAAACACCATAATGATTAAAGCTTCACCATAAGACTAACCCAGACAAATTGTGCTGAAGTTGATAAGAACACCGCACTAGTAGTATTCACATAGAAAATAAGTACCAAATACCAACTTTCTTTAGTAATCATAATCATTCTTATCAACCTTGATAGGAAATTTTTCTCTATTTACTATCATTGGTTTCATCAGCTTGAATGATATTTAGTGTATATTTTTATTTTTTCCTTTTTCATGTCACTTCCCATGGACTCAAAATCAAGGGTGCCAGCCCATAATTTATGACCGATAGGAACCCGCACATGTCTCAACTTGGGCTGCTTTTCACAAAAAAGAGACCTCAACAATTATGGACCAACATGCATAACGTGCTTTACCCAAAAATAAAAAACAGCATACATATTGTGATCAAACTAAATATCCCCAGCATTGAAGACAACTAACATCAATTCATCTACCACAAGCAGCTTCAAGTGGCTCTATATGAATTAGTTCTAGTCACAATAAACCCATAAAATTCATGTTTGATGCCAGCAATTAAATTGTTGATAGACAATGAGACATAGTCCATACAGTACAAAACAAACCATAATACATAACAATGACCATTCACCTTTAAAAGCTGCGCAGATGATATAAAAATTTGAATACAAATGCAATTGTATGGAATGTCAAATTGGCTTTCAATTTTATACAAGACTATCAAATGGCCAATAACAAAATAAAGAAACCAGAGACAAGAAACTGCATTACATGTTAATTCTAAAGTATTATAATAAATAAGACTCGTGATGAAAGGGGAAAAGAAAAAACATGAGTAGAAAGATATAATTAAAGGAAAAATTACATCTGGTCTTTGCCATCCATTTTGGATAGTGCATTATGCATTGGATTGAGAACAATCAATCCAATTCCCCCAAGCCTATTGTTAGAGCTTCTAGAATGGATAATGCTTTTGGATTGAAAACTTTCACATTAAAATGTGAGATTTTGGGATAGTATAGTACTTTAAGTTTTAACCAATTTATATTCGTGACAGGGTTAACAATCAAAGCCTCTAAATATGACGACCTTCCTTCAATTTTTCAGACAGGAACATAAAAAAAATTGCCTGTTTTATCAAACTTCACGTAGGGTTGTATTAGTCAGGCAACAGCCAACATAAAACCTTTTTGAATCTTTTCTGACATGGAACAAACAGGAAATCAATTACAATTTACAAGAACACCTATGATCTTATGGCAAAAATCCTTTAATAAAGACTTTATCCTTTATTATGGTTTTATTGAACATTTGATCGTTAATAAAACCTAGTAATGACTGATCCATATAACAGACCCACCTGATAGATTACGGTTTGGTTGTTGTCGTTGGACACACACACAATCACATGAATAAAGTATACTTGTTTAATAAGTCATCATTCTCACTTGAAACTACAAATTTGTAAAATATTATATTCCAGATAATTTTAGTTTCCCAAATCCCGTCCAGGTCCCATTGCTTACTCAAAACAACAAAGCCTAGGGAATGGGCAAGAGAGAATTAGAAGACCCATTACCATGATTAACCTACAAGTAATTTTATACATACAAAGTGATTCAAGTAACTAAAATTGTGACACTAAACATTTCCTCACAATTCTTAATTACTGAATCTGCTTCTTGTCCTACGAACATGGACAATGAAGCAAAGTTGCAAGCTAGATTTTGATAACTAAACAGTTGAGGTGTAAAGTCAGGTACCAAACTAGAATATCAATCCTCCAGTTCAGTACTGACAAAAGTGGTTTATTGATCTATTGGGGGTAATAAGATGTTTGGTAATAATGTTGCGGATCAATACCACCATAATTAGAGGCTCTATCATAATAACCAGTAGGCACATGTGCCTCTGACGAGCTTAGATGAGCACCACCTAGACTGGGGTTGCCACTGGGACCCATTGGGAGACCATCATGACCATAAGGTCCAGCTGAACGAACTGCATAAGGAGGAACATTTGGGGAAGGAGCCAACATGCCATATGGCATGGCTGGCGTGCTCATGTATGGATTTGGATGCTCTGGAAACAAACCTGATGGATGGGCAGGAGGTTGCTGGTAGTGGTGCATTGTTGAATTGACATTATTGATGTTCTTGAGGACAGGTGCAGGGCCAACTGGAGCAGATGTCCAGGGACGCTTGATACCAGTCTGTTTTGGCTTCTGCTTATTTCTCCTTTGCGGCTGTTGTTGTTGTTGCTGTTGCTGTTTGCGCTGAGAATTCTTTGCAGCAGAAGCTAGTACAGGACGCATAATATCTGTCTTTTGCCTCTTTAATTGCTTTATACGCTGCTCAAGGCTAGCTCTTGGGTATTCAGATTCAAGCTCATGATTCTCTATAATCTTGATCACTGATCTCAGCGTATTAATTTCTTTATTTGTACTCTCAATCTGCAAAAATGCCTCAATAAATATAGGGTTTACAGCACCATCAATTAGATTATATATCAAGGTGACACTTACTGCTGACTTTGGTTCCTTGGAAAGTCTAGTGGCAAGTTCCTTAGAATGTTCCACACAAGCTTTCAAAATAGGAACAGGTGGAATCCTATCAGCAAGATTAAACTCAAAAATATACTTGACAGCTGCCATATGTTTGTCGTTAGCTATAAGTTTCTGGACAATATCTGCAAAACACAAACAAGCATTGCCATACCATTAAAATTACTTAAGAAGGTAATACTTGAAATTAAGCATGTAGTTGCCACACACACACATATATGTAACAATTATTAGATAAACATAAAACTGTGGTGCACCATAAATTAACTAAAATTCATTCTTGTTCTTATTACCTCCACTGTCAGTGCCTCTTCTCGTGTGAATGCACATGCATGTGTGTGTGACTCTGTATATACAAGCCTCCTTACTTGTATATGCAGTTTAGCATCCTCTAAACAGTAAATGGGCAAACACTAACTCAATTTGGAAAAAAACAAATTTAATTAAGACTAAAAGAAAGTAATTTTACATTAAGAGATATATACATGGATAAAAAAAGTTACCACTTTAATTATGCTTAATTGTGCATTCTCACTCTCCTCACTTTCCTTTTACATTTAATTATGCAGCATTTTTTGTCAACAAGAAGAGAATCATGGAAACTTCCCCCGGATCAACATTAAACCTTGCTAACACAGCAAAATGTCAGTGGTAGTGGAAGATTCCAATTTCCAATGATTAACCAAGTCTTGGGAGTTACAAGCAGGAGGAAATTACAAGTTTGAATTGGTAGCTGAATTTTTTTTTTCTCCATGCCAATAGGATAAAAGGGATCTCATGGTAAATAATACTACTGAGTATTTAGTTTTTAACTGAGCTCAATGACGCCATATGATCCATGTAACCGACCTCACCTAGTGAAATAAGGCTATTGTTGTCAATAGGATAGAATTATCTAGTTCATCCATAAAACCACAATGGTTGCATCAATTAAGGAATCAAAAGTAGAAATTTATCATTGGGAAGTTGCATTGGAAATCATGAGAACTGTGCTGTTACACTTCCCAATAAAAATTACTAATTGCACCAGTGGTTTGTTTCATGAAGCTTTCAGTGAAAAGGATATGCCTTTAATTATTGAACAAGTTAATAGCAATATCCTATGATTTGCTGCAGTCACAAATGCCACAAAAGATTATATTTAAGAGATTACTAAAGATGACAACTTGAATTAGTTGGAGGATGTTTATGGGGCAAGTCATGGCTTCATAGTAAATTCGTAACAATCTGTATAGTTGACAGGAAGGGGGGTACAGAAGGTGTCATAAAAAGGGATGACACTTTGTTAAATATTTTTTTATAGCATAAAACTACCTTTTTTACATGTTAAACTTGTGATGTTTCCAAAATCATACTAAAAGAATGATATTTTAGTCCTTTTTTAAAACTTAGATGATGCTAACATCCATATAAAGGGAGGAGCTACACTACACACACCACATCTATCTTGCAAAATATTTTAATGGTTACATTACATATCAAGGTTGTTGGTTACACATACAAAATTTTCCACATACCTAAGATTATTGAATTTTACCAAGAGGAAACTAACTAGCCCTTCCAAAATAAGAAGCCCCTTTACAAACTTCACTTAGCTCACAATAAAACTAATATCTTTAGGGTACATTAGTGAATTTTTTACTAAAATAAAATATTTTTTTTTTACTAAAATAAAATATTTTTTAAAAAATTTTACCAAAAAAGCATCTGTACCACTTTATTTACCCAAATAGAACTTTTTACTGTTCACGTTCAGAATTCGGTTCCCGGGAAACCGAATTCTGAGCTATTAAATTTTTTTTTAATTTTTTTTTTGCGTTTTTGGACCTGAGAATGGTGTAAAACTGGAACCGGAACGGCCCGTTCTGAATGGAGAATGGGCTGTTCTGCAATGAGAACGCCCGTTCCGCAAGTAGAACGGCCCGTTCTCCATTCAAAACGGGCCGTTCCGGATGCAAAAATACACACATAACGAATGCATCAAAACGGGCCGTTCTGCTTGTGCGTTCCAGTTTCAAAAATAACAGATTTTTCGTGCCCGTTCTGCTTGGAGAACGGGCCGTTCCGGTTGCAATATTTACCCATAGCCCGAACTACAAACAGAAAAGAAAAAAAAATTTAAACACTTCTCAGAATTCGGTTCCCCGGGAACCGAATTCTGAGCTAAAAAAAAAAAAAATTTGAAGTTCAGAATTCGGTCCCCGGGGAACCGAATTCTGAACATGAACAGTAAAAGGTTCTATTTGGGTAAATAAAGTTGTACAGATACTTTTTTGGTAAATTTTTTTAAAAAAAATATTATTTTAGTAAAAAATTCGTACATTAGTTTGTTTTTGCTTTTATTTTCTATCAATACATTTTAAATAACAATTAAAAAAATGTCACATTATTTTCACTGTATTTTCTGATTCCACACTATTTCCAGTTCTTTCATCTTCTTTTGCAGAATCTTGAAAACAGAAGACAAAATTTAAACAAGAGACCCATTTCAATTCAAGTTATGTCACTTGCACATACAAAACAAGTCATAACTCTCACTACCATTCGTTTCTTTCTTTCTCTCTCCTCTTTCATTCATCAACACTAACCATTCTAATTCTAATAATCCTATGTGAGAATGTGCACAAAATTCAGGCCCAACAACCATTTCTCTTTCAAACTATATTCTTAAGCACAACCACTACCCCCATTCCTTTTTAACTGTCTTGAAAGGTTTTTATACACAAACTAAGAAATGTACTAATAATTTTCTTGTTTTTCACAAAATAGTGTCAGAGTTTCCAATTGTATCACCCTTTTTCATTTCTTCTACATGATAGATGAATACTTAGGTTTAGTATCATAAGTATTGTTGGTGTTGTTCTCTGTTCTAATTGGTATTTTATCTGAGTAATACACATTGACATTTAATAAAATCTTTTATTACGCATATCATCAATATGAAACTCCAATTCTGATCGAAGAACAAAAGTCAAATTCCGTCATCCCATTTTATCCTATTATAGAACACCAAATTCCACCATCCTCAGAGCAATTAAAATGTCAAACAGCATCAGCTCATAAAAAAGCCAGCATCCTTACCAGGAACTCTCTCCGTCAACCCGACCGCCCGGCACATCTCGAGGAACTCGGCGTTGGCGGGGCCCATGACCGAAATGTCAACAAGTCCATCCAAGCTGAATTCAGAGACCAAACCAAACGCATAAACCAAATGCAGAAACCCCAAAGCTCCAAGAGCACCGGGATCATCATCACCCACCACCCTCTCCTTCCATTCCAAAGCCAACCCCCTGGCTCTCACACTCGCCTCACCACTCACACTCACACCAGAAGCCCTAAACTGCTTCATCAACACAATGCAGGTCCTCCTCATGTTCCTCAACTCCCAATCCTTCAATTCGCCACACTCTTCTCCATGAAACCCCTCCAACGCTCCCAGAACCACCACGCCCGCATCCGGCGCGTGCCGAAACGCGCCGGGAAGCTCCGCCTGAACCCTGTCCCTGTCCTCAAAGTGGTCATTCAAGTAATTCCTCAAGCCCACACCGTCCATTTTCTCGCAGAGATGGATTAGCTCCTCCCTGGGCGCAACCGGACCAGGAACGGCGTCGTTTTGGGGGGACACCCCAGGTGAAGAATTGTCACGGTTGGGTGATGGGTCGGCAGGATTTGATGAAAAGGTCGCATTTTGGGGGGTTTGGGGTGGTGGGTCGGAAATTGGGGTTAGGGTTAGGGTTTGGGATTGGGATTGGGATTGGAGGAGGTGGAAGCGGTGGGAGAGGGAGTGGTGGAGCGAGGTGAAGTGGGAATCGAGGTCGGGCCATGAGAGAGGGAGGGGATTGAGAAGGGATTGGAGATCGTCGTAAGCTTTCTTCAGATTCTCTTTTTTGGAATCGACAAGGTTCAGGGCTTCTGAGATCGTTTTCAGTGCAGACATTGTTAGGGTTTTCTGTTTTGAGAAGTGGTCGTGCTCAAGTTGAACGTTGACGGAGGGGGCAGTGATTTCTCAAATTATGAAAACCGTTATTTTAATATTTTTTTTTTTAAATAATTCACCATTTTATATTTTTCTTTTTTGATTAAGTACGGGGCTAGCCCAAACAAAACTAAATTATATTAGAATAATCGTCAGATAAAAGACTGAAGTGGGGTTGCTTATAAGCAACTTTCTGTGTCACATCAGTTCTGACTTATTTTATGGGTTATTTAAATTTAAGCAACTCATAAAGTGGGTTAGAGCTGATGTGACAGTGATGTAGCACAAGAAGTTGCTTATAAGTAGAGGTGGGTACACAGACCCGGGTCCGCGGACCGGTCCGTAAGTTCGCGGATTTCGCAGATAACAGGCCCATTTTTTTCAAATCCGAACTATGTCTAATTTTTGAGCTCGGCCCGTGAAGTCCGCGGATTTCGCAGATTTAATCCGCGGGCTCGCGGGCTAGTCCGCGGACTTCACTAATTAATATTTTTAAATATTATGATTTTAATATTAAGTTGTGTATATAATTTTTTAAATTATTATGACATTAAAATTATGTTTAGTTGATATGTATTTGTCATTTGAATTACTTTTATGATATTTTGATACTTTTATTATTAAAAGTTTGGTACTATTATTTAAGTATTTGTACTTATTTTTATTTTAATATTTTAATATTTAGTATTTTAAACCATTTTAACTATTGATAAATTTTAGTATGATAAAATTTAGCTTATAAATAAAAAATATTTTTTTTTCTTCTAATTTTATGTATTTTTATTTTTTAAAAATTTATTTTTTTGAACCATTATTTAGGTCTGCGGACCGGTTCGTTATCCTCGGATTTTGGCGAGCCAGATACGGACTTAAAAAATAAGTCCATTTATTTTACGGACCAAACTTATCCGGCCCGTATAAAACGCAGGTTTTACGGACCGGGCCTTAAACGGGCCAGACCGGTCCGTATACCACCCCTACTTATAAGCAACCCCCACTGCAGATGCTCTAAGGAGGGGGTGAGCTAAAAATTTGAATTCTATCTAATATATATATATACCTCTTTTAGCAAAACAATTCGTTACCTAATTGGGCTCACGGAGAATATGATTACACTCCACAATATGGTTATCACTTGTCATACTAACTATGAAATTAACCAAGGAATAACATGGATTCTCTTTGGAGCACCATTCATCGAGAAATTTGACTACTAAAATAGAGTCAGATTTAATTATAATTGGATCAGAAATTCCTCTCTCAATTATGATCCGCAAACCATGATATATTGTCCATAATTCAGCTGGACCACGAAACATCTCCTCAGCATACCTACGAAAGCAAAAACAAAATTACCTGAACTATCCCACAGCACTCCTCTACAAGCTACTGTTAAGTTTACATCAACTGTACCATCACAATTCATCTTCAATATGCCCTCTAGAGGAAACATCCAACCAATAGAAACAAGTGATATTTGCCTCCTATTACATATATCCTCTTTTAAGAAAATTTTTGCCATTTCATCAACCCTTCCTTTAATCTCACCCACTAGTCGAGTACTTTGAAAATTTTCTTGCTGGAATACAATAGCATTTCGTGCTCGCCATAATGTATCCATCACAATCACAAGCATAAGACACCATTAGGGATTAACATGAATTAAGTTCTCATGTAGCCATGTCACTAATGGAAGAATGAAAAACTCATTGTGTAAGTCTTCAGTTCCCACAACACACCATATTTCTTTTGATGCATTACAATCACGAAGTATGTGCAAAATGGTTTCACTATGATTGTTACAAACAGGACAATTCCCATTTAGAGTGAGTCCCCTATATGCTCGCCACTCATTAGTACATAAACTTGAATGTGCCACCCTCCCAAGGAAGCACTGAAGTCGTTCTGGTCCCTTCCACTTCCAAATAACCTGGAAGAGAGGTAAAGGATTTGTAGCAACCCGTAGGGAGTGGAAGGTAGACTGTAAGGAGAAGCGGCCATTCGATGTTGCACCCCACACAAATATATATGCATCGGGCACCAAAGATGGCGATGCATGCGCTAACAATTCATTCCACACTGAGTTAGGAAGCAAGCCTCTAATTTGATCCAAATTCCATTTCCCTTCAGGTGTAACATAATGTGCAACAGACTTAGAAAGTTTGTCCAATGGAACATAATGTGTAGCTTTTTCAACCAGTTTGGTACGTGAAGGAAGCCAAGTATCTTTCCAAAATGATACCTTAGCTCCATCACCTATATTCCATGCCATGCATTTATGAATATCTTCCCATGCATCACAAATCCCCCTTCAGAAGTTTGAGCTGTTTGGCCTTTTTACAACCATAGGTATGTCATTGGATCCACATTTATATTTCCCGCGGATAACTTGGACCCAAATTTTATTATGTTCAATACATAAATACCACTTGTTCTTCATCATAAGGGCTTTGTTAACATTTCGAGATTCCCTCAACCTAAGGAGGTCTCCTTCTACTTTCGGTTTGCAAATTAAAGACCATGCCACAACATGGATACGACGTTGTTCTCCATTGTGACCCCATAAGAATGAACGACAAGCTTTGTCTATATCATCACAAAGTTGACGAGGTAGAAAAACCGTCTACATAGTGTATACTGGGAATGTAGCCAAGACAGATTTAGTAAATGTGAGTCTTCTTGCTATAAAAAGAGTCTTCGCCTTCCATGAACTAAGCCTTTGGTTGACTTTGTTAATGATTGAGGAATACAACCTTTTATTAACCCTGTCATGCTGAATTGGAACTCCAAGATATTTCCCTAAATTATCCATTCGTTGAAAACCTAAAGTTGAGCTAATCCCCTCCCTAACCGACCAACCAACATTTTTTGAGAAAAAAATACGTGTCTTTTCTAGGCTCACTTTTTGACCCAAGCTTTTACAGAACAACTCCAAACAGGATTGGATGACTTCTACTTGATCAAGTGAAGCCTTAGAGAAAAGGATAAGATCATCCACAAAGGTCAAATGAGATAAAGAAAGACCTTGTTTAGATAGAGAAATTGGTTTCCAAAGCTTCTGAGAAACTACTACTTCAATAATATGGAATAAACGCTCCATACACAAAACATAAAAATAAGGAGACAAAGGATCCCCTTGTCTAATGCCCTGAGAAGGATGAAATTCTTGTAAGGCCTCACCATTCCAAAGCACATGTGACAAAGGTGTTGAAATACAAGCCCAAACCAAATCAACAAAATTCTGAGGTAAACCAATATATGTCAAAGTATCTAGAATGAAACTCCAATTCAAACGATCATAGGCTTTTTCCAAATCAATTTTAATTACCATCCACCCTTTATTTCCAGTTCATCTCTTCATGGAATGAATCACCTCCTGGGTAATAATGATGTTTTATGGAGTTTATGTATTATGTTGTATGGATTGCATGTGACTGGATTTTCCTGATTTTTAAGTTTTGGATGGAATTTTCTAGGTTTTGGGGGTTGCTGTATGAATTTGTGTCAGGCTTATGTTCTTGGCGCCAGGCGTGCATTCATTAGGGGTAACCATTTTTTGATCATGTTGGGCGCGAGGTTAGTTGTGCCGGGCGCGATTGTAAATGAGAGTCTCTGGATGAGTTCACGCCGAGCGTGAGGAGAACCACGCCGGGCGCAATATCAGATAGTGGCCTTGCCTAGTAGGTTACTGATATGGCGCCGGACGCAGGGTACGTGCGCCGGGCGTGGAGACCTCTAGAGGTCTCTGTCTAGATGGCACCGGGCGTAGGTGGGTGTGCCGAGCTTGGAGATTCCTATAGGTCTTTGTCTCAAGGACGTCGGCCGTGGGGATTCTACACCGGGTGTGGATGAGTTTTAGATCCTCAGGTTGGGTTTAGGTCAGGCGCAAGCTGGCTGCGCCGGGCGTGAGTATGTTTAGTGATGTTGAGTAAAAATGATGCTTATGCATGTTTAAAGTTGAAGATTTGAGCATGTATGTATGATATATGATGTATGGTGGTGTATGATTCATATGTATGCTTGGTAATGATATGTATGAATGTTTAAATATGATATGACATGTGTATATGTTCATATGAGGATGATTATTGATCATGATGGTGGATTGGCCATGTATGATGTATGATGCATTATTGCATGTGATGCCTTATGGCATGTGTCTAGCCTAGGACTTGAAGAGGGGAAAATATTTTTGAACTGGAAGAGCTCACATAGAGTTTCTTGAGAGTGGTGCTTGGATAAGCCACTGATATAAATGAGAGTAGTGCTTAGATAGGCCACTGGTTTGGGTGAGTCCCCTCTAAGTCCTTAGTTAGTGTTGGAGTGGGATATGAGGTCGAGGGTTATTCCCTTAACCAAGCATTGGGGAAGGTGTGTGGTTCCTTGCGGATAGTCGGTGGGCGAACTCCACAAGTGACTTGGCAATGCATGTCAAGGTCGTGGTAAGCCTGTATCCAGCTGTACTATACCTGACGGTGGAACTGGACTTCCAAGTGTGTAAGTGACATCATCCGAGTAAACTCGAGTGAGGATTTATATCCTAATTAGTCGTGATCGAGCGGACGCAATGGGCGTGAAAACGATTGGGGTAGTTTCGGTAGGATTGGGATGTCACTTATATTGCTCTGTGATTAGGGAGATCTCCTAGGTGTATGCGTGACGCCGCATTAGATGATTGATATGCATTGATATCTATCATGAGTTGCTATTATTTCATGATTTCTAGTATGATGAAGTGTGCGGTGTTGACTTCATGTTTGACGAATTGATGATTGATTGAGATGGGAGTCCCTTTGGGACTTGATTGGATGAATGTGTAGTATAGATTTTTATTCTATACTTGTATGGTTGCTTATTAAACTCTAGCTTACCCTTCTGTTTTCATGTGAATGGACTGCAATGATCATACTGTGTATGGGAACAGGTCAGGGTTAGGTTGGAGCTGGTTGCGGTGTCTGTTGTGAGATGGGGAGATTTGTTCCAGTGTTACAGTTACCATCTTGGGTAATGTTTGTTTGTGCTTGACCGACACTA